AGCTATTATAAAGATATTATCAATCACCTATAAGTGAAGAGTGCATGAAGAGCATTATACAATAATTGCGGCTCTCCTCTCAAGTGGCTAGTGACTTCTGGTAGCAGAGGGGTCAGCTGTGGCATGGTCAAGAGTAGGCTGGCTACCCGGCTGCTATCAATCTCAAGGAGACTCTGGAACAGGTATGATCAGTATATATTTGATTCTTAAGATCTTTTTAGTTCTCATAAGCAGTTAAGTTGAACAAGATGAGTTGGGAGGCAGAAGGATGAAATTGACAGAAACAAGAAGTGAGAGATAGATAACAGCGCAAAAGCACAACATTATTTCATTAATAACAATAAACAAATAAATGAACAGAATAAACAAACAATACACACAAAAAAATCAATAAAGGATCATCCAGCTTTTTCTAGCCCATAATTTCCTGATGAAGAGCTAACTCACCACCCATTATTATTACATTACCAGATATGAAATGTTTTTCCACTTACCGTGATATGTTTTAGGAACTGCTGCTGAATCTTCTGTGCATGCAAGTCTGTGAACTGAGGTGATGACAGGACAGAACGTATATATGTAAACACTTGATGTTTCCTCATCTTGTCCTCTAAGTAACATTCAACAATCTTTTCATGTTCACCTCTTTCTTCGTACACAAACTCACACACTCGGTAACTGCTCACATGAAAAAAAAGTGAAAAAAGTCATATACAATATTTGAAAACATATATACTATTTACATCAAGGCAGTAGTAGCTAAATCAGTCTTTGGCAAAATAAACATGTATCAAATATTGATAGTGTGAAGATTACTCTTACAATCCTGCTTGCCGTGCTTTCTCCAACAGTTGTTCCACCTTATAATGTACAAGACCACCTTCTTGCAAGAGCTCTAGTAATGCTGTTTGACGTTCCTCATGGTGACTGGATGCATCTGGAGCTGTTAGGTGGCACAAAACCTGTCAAGAAGATTTTTATACAATTAGCTCAAGTCAAACCAAATGACTTATTATATGATTCAACATCACACTTGACTAATAATCCCTAGAAGAAATAAGTTCACAATCCCTAATTCATATGTTTTAAAGAAAATGAGCCAGTTTACTTGATCAAACAGCTGCCTGTTGACTGCAATGGCGCCCTGTTGCCTAGACATCTGACGTGCTATGAAAGTGAAGAGTCCTCCCAACTGAGCTGGACCGAAGCCTTCTCCCTCCACCATCACCTGATGTGTTGAATTACATTTTTTACTTAATGACGAAAAAAGACCAACATAAGTAGAAATGTAATGGCAGTTTGAGAATATAATTTTGAGGAAAACAGAAATGGCACTTCTGATGACTACATACCTGGAGGAGAATATCTACAACACGCTGCCTCTGGATCATCCCAAGTTCTGAGGTGAACTCTGCCTCCTCAAAAGCTAGTGCTAAGACATTCAAAAACTCCCTAGTATCAAATCTTAACAGAGTTCTTAGGAAAGGATATGCCTGTTCAGTTGGCTTTGCATTTTTTGAATGTAGTGATGTAATGCACTTGAATATTTCATGTTTAACTTGCTGTAGTTCCTCTGGGTCAATCTCACCCCGTGGGTATGCACGTCCAGCCAAGCAACTCGACACATACACTAGAATCTTGTTTCCCAGCATCACCTGACTATCAGTTAAGGCTTTGCCACTATCCATAGCATTACTCAAGACAGTAATGAGTTCTTCCAATGGGGTAACAAAATCTCTCATGCCATGGGTGTAGATGTAGAATATAGCATCATAGAGTCCATGAGTCCAGCAAAGGGTCATGGCTTGGTGGAGGTCAAGGGATGTCACCTGCAGGTGGACAATGCAAGCCTCTGCAGCCTGAAGTCTCCCACATGCCTCATGGTGAGACAGGAGACACTGCGATATGCTGGGTGACATGTCTGCCAACTGGTCACTCAGGATGTATGGCTCTAGTGACTCCAAGAAAATACCTGAAAGGAAAGATGTAGAATCTCAAAAACTTTCATGCATGTAACATGCATAGAAATTCAATAAGCTTCTAAGAAATTAAACATTTGTGTTCATCTACTCTGTTAAAAACAGTATGAGGGAAATTAAAAAGTTCACAGAATTTTGCCCTAACGAGCATACAAGCAAGTCAAAACAAAATAATATGTGTTAAAACATATAACGGACTTGGTATTTTCAAGTTAGTCGCTTACAATTAGTTATCAAGACCCACAACCTTCTTTAGAGAAGGATTAAAGATTTGGAAACATCATCTGGAGAAGTCTATTAACTTTGATTGCAACTATATTGAAAAATAAATTATATTTTTTGTCCTTCTTTGTTCTTTGTTCTGCAAATTCCACAAACTTTTTGAGTTATCCTTGTATATCTAAATTTCCATTACATGAAAAAGTAAATGCTACAATTAAGGCTGTTGTAGCCTATTTCTGATCTCCCATAACAGTATTTCCATTCCTGAATTGATGTGAGGATATAAAAATCAATCATTCTTTCTTTTATATCCGAGTTCCCTATTTTGTACGAACAACTCAACTCTTACTAACCAGCAAGAAAATAATTTTACGTCTAATATTCATATCATTCACTTTACAATACCTTAAATGCTACAAACAGAGTTTATAAAAAACCCTTAGTCTTCCCACTCTTGAAGATATGAACAAAACTTCCAAAGGAAACCCATGAAAGAATTTAAAAGCCAAAGAATACCTTTAGATATAGCATCTTCACTGAAGAGGTCCCACATCCTCCCGAACAGCAGGTCCCGAAGGTGAGCTCCCACAGCAACTTGGACGCAAAGAGGGACCAACTGGGTATAATACTTATTCAGGCCTTCCAGGTTGTTCCTTTCTGGAAGCTTCTCTAGTGCAGAGTCAAGGTACTGATTCAGAAGCTCATTGATCTTTTCTTGAACAAGCTGTTAGGAAAAGCAGACACCTACATCACAGTCTTATTCCAGTAAGGAAAGAGATATGAGTTAGTTTGCAAGTGATATGAAACAATGTACATACAAATAGTTATGATAATTTGCATAAAATTCTTGAGAACTTAATTCACCAATTGTCTTTTCTCTCTTTTATGTTTGAGGCCTACAACAGCTTGAGCTTTGTCTTGATAAATGTCTAATGCAAGTTGCAGAGCTTCACGGACATGTCCCCCACGGACAAGGTGGTCCAGCCGGTCAACCCAGGTGCGCACTGTGACTACCTGAAATTACAATAACATGTCATTGGCATGGATGGTGGACACAAAGCTACTGTCAGCAAGAGTGTATTCCTTAAGGAGATAGACATTACAGATATCTGTTGAAGAGAGCAAGGAGCAAAGAACACAAACAATCAACCAACAACAAACGGATCTAGGTTAATCTAAGAAAACAAAAGAAGACCAGCAGACTTAAAATCATGATGTAAAATATATAAATGCTCCAGTTATCTATGTCAAGACATTATTGGATGATAAAGTATATTTTGTAAACAAACTTACCTGGAAAGATTTTGTGCCAAGTAGCAGAACTTGCGATCCAAAACTGACCATGGAATGATAACAGGCTCTCTCACCTGCCAGTGCCTGTAAAAAAAAGAAAATGTTTCTTGATTTCCTCAAAGCATGAAGTCTTGCTCAACAATTTTACTTACAAGAATGTGTGATACTGCAATTTATATTCCTTTCCAAGTAAATAACACTTTTCTTGAACCTACCATTGCTTTACTGACATTGCTCCCAGTGGCAATGGCTTTAAAATGTGCAGAAGCATACACCAGGCCAAGGTGGGCCAGATCTACAGTCTCTAGTTCATCTTGAGTCTTGACATCAATTACATGCAAGTGCTCTTTGGTATCCATCACAGCTAGAGTCCGGGAGTTGAGCCATGCCATGGCTTGGACTAGGTATGATAAGGACATTTTCTGCAGTGGGATAAACTGCAACTCCTCCTGACTTCCATGTGTCAACTGCAAAATCGTATTTCAAGAAGTTACTACAATTCTACAGCTATAAACATGTAAAGTATAATAATTTCATAGCTGAACCAATCATTACCATATCAGATGCATGAAATGCATGAGTTGGGTTGATTTCTTTCTAAAAAAGAGGAAATAAAAAATCTGAGATCATATAGTACTCTAATTACCTGATAAAAATACACATTTTTCTCACGACCAAAGGCCAGCACTGGATCAATCACTCTCGTTCCATCAGGCATTTGTATCACTACAAATTGCCAAGCCAAGAGGGGGAGCGTAGATGCAGAGGCTTTTAGTGGGTGAGAGAACAATACTTTCAACTGTGGCCTCAAAGATACCACAATGACCTGAAATCACATTGGTTATAAGAAAACTTTCAGTTAAAATTTTGAGAATCTATGGATGACATATCAGTCTACAAATCTTTTAAGCAAAAAGTTTAAATATGATATATATGAACCACTTGATGTATGGCAAAATGGCTTAAGTAACAGTAATAGTAATGCATTATATCAAAGAAATGTAGAGCAAATAGTACAGAGGTCTACTAATAAAGACAGTCAAGGAATCTCATGATTATGCAGCAAATAGCAATTCACACCCACTTTCATCCTCAATATCAGGTAACATCTGTTACTATAATCATAATAAAAAATATTCATTTCATGCACTCTTCCAGAGAATGGAACAGTTAACACACCTTTGATATAGTAGCCATTGCCAATATGACTGGTTCTGACACTGGGGTAGCACGGAACTGTGACATCAAGAGGGGTTCAATAGTACACACTTCCCCACGACTGCCTGAGAATATGCAACGAGACTCATTGGAGTTGAGCCCCATAGTCCTCTTGATGGAGAGCTCAAAGACAGACCCTCCGCTGTCACTAATGACAGCCATTCCAGGAAAGTCTGTCCACTGTACAAAAAGGAAAGAAGCACAGTTAAAGTCAGACAAACTTCCAGACTTTTATGCATGTGAAAGATCTATGCATATATATTCCTACCACTGTCATCAATCCAAAATTTAAAAATATCTGTATATACCTTTAAAAATATCAGTGCAAAAATGAAAGAGCACAGGTTAAAGTGAGTGAAAGAAACTCCGACAAAACAAATCTTGCAAAAAGCAAAGGAATAGAGGAAACATGATTGGGCTCATGAGAACAGCCCTGCTCTCCCAAACAAATAACAAAAAAGATTAAACACAAAAGACAATAAATACTGCTCTCCCAACTGCCACAAATAGTCAACAAAAGATATTAAACAAAAAGATTATAACAATAAAAAGACAACATACCAAAAATGTGCATACACCTTTTCCTTCAAAATTGTTATTCACTTGCCTGAACAGCATCCAAATATATTTTTGTACTTACTTGTGTTGATCCTAAACAGAATTTCAAAGCCTGAGTAGGCTCAAAGACAAGGATGAGGCCATGGCTTGTGCCAATGCATATGATGTTACCCACTGCCATGGTTGTTGGTAGCCCAGCACCCACACGGTCCTAAATGTAAAATAACTCTATCATAATGAGGACAAGATGGGAGAAACTATGAGATAGAGGAAGAAGAGGATATCACCAAAACAGGAAAATTATATAATGAAGTTTCTTGTCCCATACAAACCACAGAGTCTGACTGTTGTTGATATTTAGAAACACTGATTTACTGCTCAGTTACTCTATATGATGTTTTTAGTATTAAAGCAGCAGTTGAAACATAACTAAAATGGATCTTTAACATGGAGCGCAGCTATCAAAATCTAGTTAAAAAGTTAAAAAGGGATAGCAGAAAAATCATAACCTCAGGCCAATGTGGGTTAGCAATATCTGTGGTAGGACTTTCACTTTCCAAGTCAAGCTTTGTAAAGCATTCAGTAATACTGGAATTTCCTTTATTTATGCCAGCAACTTTATATTTGTCTTGAAAAGGTAAACTGAATCAAATAACAATAGAATTTCTGTTTGCTGCAAAATAGCAGTGTTTGTAAAACATTTCTTTTGAATGATTATATAGATGCAAACATAGTGCTCTGGAGGTATTTCAAATTAAATCACAGCTCAGAAAAAAATCGCCAACCTAAGCTTTTGAGAGATTGGCCCTTGGGTTGACAGTGGTTATATAAAATGGAAAAAAGACACCAAAGCCAAGGTTCTTCTAGCCTTAACTGACTGGGTCCACACTCAAGTACAAGATTATTACCTGTTTAGCAAGCTCTACATACAATGTCAAAGTGAGCCAGACCTACAGTATTCTTTGCTATTTACTAATTTTTTGCAGGGAATGTAATTGTAAAGAAATGAATGAGGGAGATATCACATCTTGTATAGATGGAATGCTGCAAATAGGAATTATTAGTTCTGGTACTGTATGGCGCATATTTCATCCAGCCAAATCCCCATCTTTTCCTTCCCCACATTCCCCTTCTACACACTATACCATATCAACCACCTACCTCTTCTATGTATTTATGAGTAAAAATGAGCTCTTAAAAAGTTAACAACCAATTGTCAAAAATCAGATCCTCTCTTAGCAGCTTAAGGGGACTGATAAATTGGAGGGCTTGCCAATACTTAAGAGATTAAAGCTAAGTTGACTATGGAAATTTTACAAAGTCAACTGAAAGTTTTTCTATGAACATCCT